CAGTCTCAGCTTCAGTCTGCCTCAGATGCTGCCTCTCTTTTGCACACAGCCACAGAGCGGCAACTGGGCGCATTTCAACGGTAAACATCATGAATGCATTTGGAAAGTGGCTCGTGGTGTTTGCATTTTGCATTTCTTCGCATTCTTTTATGTTTATGTGTGGCTGTGGCTTTTGCTTTGCCTGCGGACTGGCAGCCATCGCACAATTGTGCCAGCAACAACAACAACAACAACAGCCGATGCCGAAGACGGCGTTTTCATTTCTCAGAATTGATTGGCCGTCGCGTTCGCATACTCCACACGCCAGCTTTTATTTCTTGCTGCATTTTTCAAGCAGTCGCTGCCGCCGTCGCTGCCAGGCACCTGTCGTTGTTGCTGTTTCGCTACAGACGCTGCTGAGACGTCTGCTGGCCAGTTGCTTCTCTCTGTCTGTCTGTCTCTCTGGCTGTGCCTTTGCCTTTGCGATTCTGATTAAATAACGTTTGACTTGGCGGGCGTCGACGTCGTCTGCGTCTACGCTTTCGTCTTTGTCTGCGTCCTCGTCACCTACCTTGTTTATGCGACTCACACTCACACACACACATGCTCATTTCGTGATATGGCACACATACACATATCGCAATGTCCCTGTATGCAACAGGCAATGCCCGTTATGAACTGCCAGATAACAACTGTCATTTTGTAAGATCTTTCTTCTTCCTTATGTTTGGCTAGGTGGCAACACTTGCAAAGGCATAGCGTCTACTTATTCTGTTCCACTTAGTCTTGTATATAAACAGATTTGTGCTTTTTTACTGAACTTGTGATTTAGCATAAACAGTTCCTTAATTTTGGGTATGAGCGTTGCCAGGCTATAAAACAATCTTGTGTTTTATATTTTATAGATGGCTTTTGTGGATTTTGAATATATACAAAATATGATAGCTGGATGATGTTGGTTAGAAAATTTAAGAAAAAAAAAAAAAAATTTAACGAAAATCTGAATTAACTAAACGAAAAAGCGTGATTAACAGCGATTAAGTATTTGTATGGAAGTTTCTTTTAATCAGATATTTTCTTTGTTAATTCCTTAGATTTAATTTCTTTTTATATTTATCAAAAGCTTGCTAACCAAAATAATGTCTGATGCTTTTGCCCATGTATATGTATATGTACTTAGATATATAATTTTACTCGATATGTTATGATAATTTCCCTTCTGGATATTAAACTACATATATAAATATATAGATATATGTATGTATACTAAAAATAAATAATAAACCTTACATAATAATCTTTTATTTTCGTATGCATAGTTGCCGTACTGCAATAAAGCTAATTTTATTTATTTTCATAATTTGACCTGTATTATTTGAATTTGGCATTTGAACAGAGTTGCCAGACAGTAAAAGACAATTGATTGCTGCGTCTAAGCGCCGCATCCGCTCGCTTCATTAGCTGTACATGGGCGAGCCGTGCAACACGGGGGCAAACTGGGCAAGCTGGGCAACTGGGCAACAATGTTGCCGCTGCAACATGGGCAACTGTTGGTCTGCTGTGGTCATCAACGGCAACTGTATGCTGTGGCAACTGTTTAGCTGCAACAGTTGCACAGTTGCACAGTTCGTTGTTCGTTGTTCGTTGTGTGTTTTGTCAGTTGTTCTGCGTTTGATTCTGTGCTCATTCTCATTCCCATTCCACGCATGCGCAGTCTACTTTTCAATTTGGCATCATCAGCAACAGTTGCTGCCGTGTTGTTGCTGTTGTTGTCTTTCATTTCTGGCTTGTTTCAGTTGGCGTGTAAATCTATTAACGTCGCCTCGTTCTATGACTGGCATCGCATCATTGTAATTCCTCAACTCACCTGCCGTCAGTTGCTGCTCCGATTGCTGCTCCACTGGCCAGTTGCCAGTTGCCAGTTGGCAGTTGGCATTGCGATCGCCTCGTGCCAATTTGCCTAAGTCGACTATTTAACTATTTTTGCCATTTGCCAGTTGCCAGTTGCCGTTGCTCTTAGCCAGTTGATGCTGCTCCATTTGGACGTGCGACTTTTATCTCTGATTTTATTTCACGGCACGTCGCTTGTGGGGCGTCCTCTTCAAGATGTTGTTCTTACTGTTGTTGTTGTTTTTGTTGATGTTGTTGCCGTGCTTGTTGCCCAGTTAGCAGTCAGTCAACGTAGACGAGCGCCACCTGCTTCTTCTGCCCAGTACCCCCAATTGCTGGCACTTGTCTCTATTTGCATAGCAGCCGCACCACACACACGCCGACATTACAGCCTAATTTGTGGCCCATTGTGGGTCAACATACGCGAACCCCAACAGCAGTGCCTTCTACCTGGTTGCCATGATTGATGAACGACAGTTGCTGCTCCTTAATTGCCGCGACATTAGTGCTCTGGCGGCCCACACTCAACCGATGCAGATGCCACACAGACACGCCCCACGGAAAGCAATCATGGCCCACAAAAAAACAGAAAAGGCGGCAGGGGAAAGCATTTGGGGGGGGGGGGGGGGAAAGCAGGGGCAGACACATGTGGTGCAGTCTATTAAGTAGAGATTAGATGCAGATGTAACATAGATGTATTGCGGTATAGGTTATATTGATGAAGCACACGATATAAACTAGATGGAAGTTATAAAAAATATAGAAAAAAGATAGAAGAAAAATATAAGATAGATAGAAGATCGATTATAGACAGGGTAGAAATTGGGTAGCATGATTGATGATGATTGATGATCATACAGAGAAGATGGATTATGGACAGATAGAAGACGGGAAGAATATTGATAGAAAGTGAGCTCTACTTGTGGATCTATGATGATTGATGATCATAAAGGGAAGATGTATTGAAGATAGAAGATTTGTAGAAGAGGATGACAAGACTGGTTGATGATAATAAAGCGAATATAGAACGAAGATATATACAGAAAGAATAACACAAAGAATAAAGAAAAAATATATATAAGATGGATTAAAGATAGAAAGAAGACGGGTAGAATATTGGTAGAAAGTGAACTCTTCTTATTGATTGATAATGATGGATACTGATAAAGGGACGATTTGTAGAAGAGGAGTAGAAGACTGATTGATGACGACTAAGAGAATAAAGATATAAAGTGAATTCTATTCATTAATAATATAGAGAAGACAGATAAAAGATGGATAAAGGTTAGATAGAAGAAAGGTGAAATATTGGTGGACAATGGGTATTTATTGATTGATGTTGATTGATGGTGATAAAGGGATGATGGACACAAGATCTGATTGATGAATTGAAGATAGTAGATGATTTAAAGTTTGATTGATGACGATAAAGAGAAATAAAATAGAAAATAAATTAAAAATAGATAGGAGACGGATCAAAATATAATTCTACTCATTGATTAATGGTGAGAAAGAGAAGACAGATAAGGCAGAAGAAATATATATAGAAGAAAGGCTCACAATTGATGGAGTACAAGTTTAGGGCAAAAGGAAGATAGTCGGATGATAAATAGAAGATACGGGAAAGATATATATACCATATAAAGAATACAAAAAAAAAATGGTATATATATATATATATATAGACAGACAAAATTGAACATGAACAAGATAAATACATATAGAAGATAGCAGAGGTTGATAAAATCTATATAGAATATATAGAAACATAAAAATAGATGATTTATAAAAGAATGGCTTACGACTTATAGACCATAAATTGGGAATAGACAAAAGACCGACGAAGGCCTTAAGAGCATAGATTAAAGATATCATCCTGTTAATCAGTCAATCAGACAATCAGACTGTCAATCAGACAGTCAGTCTGTCAATCAGACAGTCAGCTCGTGAGGCGAAATAGTTAATATAACATATATAGAACGAATTTCTATGCAAACCATTTTATAGAGTTTAAAAAGCTTTGGCCTATTTAGATGAAAGATATCATTTAGTTAAACAATCAATCAGACAATCAGTCAGTCAATCAGACAGTCAGCTCGTATTTTATAGGGTATAATTGATATGAAGCTTTGACCTATTTTTCGGATTGAGATTAGATAACATAATTTTGTCTGCCAGGCCCACTGTGCGCCGGCAAGCTGCTTGAATGGCTCCACTGTGCAACGGAACTGGCTAATGGAACAGGCACGGGAATGGGACTAGCAGTGGGACTGGGACTGAGACTGGGACTGGGACTGGCAGTTGTTATTTGGTTATCTGTCTATGCCATATAAGTCGACAAATGCGCAGTTAGGCTGGTCCATGGCCAATAGCCCGATGCCCGATGCCAGATGCCAGATGCCGCCTGGCAATGACAACGTGTGTGTTACGTACTTGTATTTATGATTGGCAGCTGGGGCGGCGGCGGTGCTGCCAGATCCGACTCTTCAGACTCTTCAGACTCTTCGGACAGTTCAAACTCGGCAGAGATCGCTCAGACTGTGGTGCAGCCGGCGGTGCAAACACCGTTCGCTGTATAAATAAAAAGCGTACTTACGATTGCAGATGCCAAGATCCGACGATCCGACGATGCGACAATGCGACAATGCGACGATCCGACGATGCGGCTGGAATGCGTTTAGTGGCGACTCTGAGCCGCCCCAAGAGCCACTCTGCCTCCACACAAGCACACAAACACACACACACACACCACACACACACAGCGAGGCAATGTGAAGAATGTTAATGCAGCCGCTGCAGCTATCGGCAATGACAACAGCTCCAGGCTTGTGTGCACGACTACGAGATACCCATTGCTTTAGTAAAAGTTTCAAATGAATTGTTCTGGGCTCACATACTTCATGAGTTTAGTCTTATGCATATGCTCAACATTATCATCATAGGGCATGATATACCCTGTAAGTTACCCAAAAAAAACATTTATATAACATATATATATATTTATCCCGACTAGATTAAAATGAAAGCCTCTGTAACTTCTGAGTTTTTCACGTTTTGCAGTGGATTTTGACAGGACTCAATGGGAATTCTGTAGGGATTACTTTTCGACACACTAGAACTTGTGATCTGTTCCTGAGTTCCATTTATTTCAATAAGCAATTTACTCAAATCTGATTTTGAGGAAGAAACGATTGTTTGTTACATAAAGTTCCATCAGCTGAGTATACCCCATCTAGGCGCACATTTTGTTTACAGGGTATAATAGAACAACAACTATAGAAATGAGCACAAACATTTACTTAATCCATTTCCAATGCAATTGCTCTCGTTCCCGTTCCCGTTCCCGTACCCGTTCCCGTTGCAGTTCCAGTTCCCCCCAGCTCGTTGCCATTCTCATACCCGTTCCCATTGACGTTCCCGTTCCTTGTAGAATTCATCTAGTTTTTGTTGTTGTTGTTGTCGTTTTTTGTTTGTTTGTTTTTTTTTTTTTTTACAACTACATAGTTAGATAGTAGGGGCTACAGTTACTTAGAGCTAATTTCCTGGCTGCCGGCGGCGGCGGCGGCGGTAGCTGAGGATTGCCGCCTGGCCTTGGGCTTGGCTTGATCCGGCAGAAAGTATGCCATCACGCTGAGCACCACCACCAGGCCGAGGACGGCCCAGAAGCTGGCGTCGCAGCTGCTGAACAAGAGGCGGCCCAGCAGATTGCTGCCAACAACGGCGCCCAGGCGACCCACCATCATGATGAAGCACATGCCCATCGCGTTTATCTGCGTCGGATAGAAGTCCATCGCAATGGTGCTGACCAGGCCGCCGCAGTTGCCGATGGCCATGGCCAGGGTCAAGGCGATCACCACCAGGGCGAAGTTCTGCAGCCAGTGGAGCAGGGCCAAGCACACAATTGTCAGCAGCATCCAGCCAACTGTAAAGAGCGAGAGGTCAGAAAGGTCAAGTCTGATGAGGATCTGTCTTGAGGAAATGCACTCACTCAACAGATTCCGCTTGCCAATCAGATCGATGGTATAGGCGAATATCAAGTAGATGATGGTGAAGGCGCCGCCAATGGTGATCATCACCTGGTAGGTATTGATGTCGGCGGTCATGATGCAGCTGCCGTCCATGGATGTCTCGCCGGCGGCGTTGAAGCCCTGCAGAACGGTGCAGAGCAGGGAACCCTGTGCGCTGTCCTTGCCCAGCTCGTTGAGTATGGTGGGGAACCACATGAAGATGCCCTGGGCGATGCCGTAGATGAGGAACTGTATGATGCAGATGTTGAGCGTGTGCAGGACTCTGGAGCGATAGAAGAGCGGCACCGTCTGCTGCCAGATGAGATGCACTGCATCACAGAAGCCATGCACACTGGACAGGCTGGCGCCGCCGCTTTGTGTGGCCAGGCGCTGCACTGGATAATCGGCTGACGATCTGCCCGAGTTCTGGGCATAGATGCTGCGCAGCGTTTGGAGCGCCTCGTCGACACGGCCCTGGACGAGCAGATATTTGGGCGTCTCAGGCAGCAGGAAGAGACCGAGAAGCGCCAGCACACTCACCGAGACATCCGCGATGAGGAAGACACGCCACGAGGCGAGGCTCAAGCCCAGCAGCGATCCGTTCAGCTGGAGCGGCAGAATGCCAATGGCCACAGCTGCGGGAGCAGGTAGCAGAGAGGAGGGATTAACAACAGCTTGGACACAGATGGCCTGACTCATCGACCTACCTGGCGCAAACATCATGGCAATGCACATGAAGCAGGAGAGGAGCGTCACGTGGCGAACACGCGACTTGTTGCCGTGAAACTCGCCGCACAGGCTGAACACGCACGCCTGTCCGCCGGAGATGAAGAAGCCGGTGAGGAAGCGGAGCACAATCAGCATCCAAATGTTAACCGAAAAGGCGGACACAATCGAGCTGATGGCGCTGAACAGCATCGCGTAGCGCAGCGTGGCCACACGGCCCCAGGTATCCGCCAGGAAGCCCATCGCGTGCGAGCTGAGCACCACGCCCAGAAAGCCGGAGGAGGCCAATATGCCCTGCTGTTCGAGCGTGGCCATCAGATCGCACTTGACCAGCGGCAGGATCAGGCTGACGCCCATTATCTCCACCATGACGGCCATGAAGCACAGGCCGCAGATGAGCAACAGCTTCAGGTGGAACCGTCCCACGCCCGTCAGTGTGATCGCCTCCTCAAAGCTGTATTCGCGGCACGGGGCTGGCTTGCCACACTTTTCCACAGTGCCTGCAATAAGTCGCACGTCAATCACGGTCAATCAGTGTCAGTGTCAGCGACAATCCGGCTGTCAATCCGGCTGTCAGTTTGGCATTAAAACTAAGTATTAACCGGCCGCTCATTTGCATAATTGGCAACGCCTTAAGTACAGCGACGCCGCCATGGAGCAGGCCCAGTCGCAATGGCAGCCGCGGCCGCAAGCACTGGCTCGCCCGATCCGCTGGCGGACGATGTGCGTCTGCCCAAGGAGCAGGCGACGTCGGCGTTCTTCGAGTCGAAAACCTTTCGCCTGATCTCGATTGTCATCTATCTGGGCGGCATCAGTGGGCTCGGCATGGCGCTGGCCCTCTACTATCTCATCTTCTTTGACTCCGGCATGCCGGATATTCATCTCCGGTTTCCCGTCTCAATTGGCGGCCAGCCGGTGCAGAAGGTGCACGAGTACCAAGAGGTGAGTCCCAGCCGAGCTACCCCACCACCATTCCCATACCCTTCAGCGAGAAAGCACACACAGAACTTACGATTGTCGTGTTTTCTAATTGGATTTGCCAACAACAAACCGGGCTGCTCGACGAGCAGTATACCCTACAGTCATTAAATAAATGCCACAAACTCAATCTTTAATTATGAGTAAAACAACTTATCAAGACTCTAACACAAAACTGAACTCTGGGTAGATAGATTTGAGTATCGCAAAAAAGTTAACAGCCACTTTAACATTCGCTTTTGCTGTCTACGTTTGCATATTAAAAAGAAGAGAAGGAAAGGATATTCTATATGCAAATGTGAAGTCTAGTTTGCCGCAACAAAGTTAACAGCCACTTTAACATGCGCTTTTGCTGTCTATGTTTTTATTAAAGAAAAGAGAAGCAAGATAGGATATATGCCGAATTTTAAGTCTAATTTTTTGCATCAAAGTTAACAGGCACTTTGACAGGCAAATTTGGTGTCTAAGTTTGGCATATTAAAAAAAAAAGAGAAGTAAGGAAAGGATATATGCCAAAGTTAACAGGCACTTTAACATGCGCTTTTGCTGTCTATGTTTGTATATTAAAGAAAAAAAAGAGAAGTAAGGAAAGGATATGTGCCTAATGTGAAGTCTAGTTTTTCTTAGCTCTGGGAAATATACCTAATGAAGGCCACCTTCTGCCTTCTGCCGCTCACATAATCGATATACCCTTATTTAAGCGCCTTCGCTGGGTACAGGGTATACAAAATAAATGACGTCGCAGCGTTGACAACAAATCAAACCAGGTCAAGTGGCCAAAGACTAGCGCACGTTATGTGGCTCAGCAGGTGGCAACGCGGGTAGCGAAAGAGGTGGTGGGTGGCGGGGGAGGGGGGGGGGTTGTAGTAGGTACACGCAGCGGGTGGAGGTGTGCCACGAGGCGGTGGGGTATTGAATCTTATTAGCGTGGCGGTCAAGACGCTGCCCCAGCGGAGCACAGCCCAGCTCGGACATGAGGGCAGCGCCCGAATCGCTCGACCACAAGCAAACAGAGAGAAGAAGAAGAAGCGGGAGGAGAAGAAGAAGCAGCTGTGGAAACCGCAAAACACAGAGGAAATGTGGCAAAGCGCACCGTCAATCGCCCGCCGCCATTCAGTTCGCCTCCAGAGACGCCAAGCCGTGGAAGACCGCAGATTTGAACGGTTTCTCGTTGGGCTTAAATACAGTTACATATACATATATATACACATATAGTATATATACATTTGGAGAATGGCTGCGTCGTCGTCGTCGATGTTGACCAACCTGGCCGCTGTGGTCAAGGAGGCCAATGACGAGGAGATTCAAGTGCCCAAATCGGATGATTTCTTCGAGTCGAAAGCCTTTCGACTCCTCACCCTAATCCTCTATATGGGCGGTGTCAGCGGCATGGGCCTAACGCTGGCCATGTACTATCTATTCATCTGGGACTCGCGCATGCCGCCGCTGCCCGTCTTCAAGCATACGCATCCAATTGGCTAAAGCGGCAGCGGGAAAGGGGAACCCTAGCCCTAACCCATCATCGAAACATTATTTTGGGTGAGTGTTCCGTGGGGATTGGGAATTGGGGTTCTTTTTTTATATATAAGTTATCCGGCTTTCTGTAGCATTTGCTTTGACTTGCACTTAACACGAGCCACACGGATTAATTGGGTAGAAAGAGGGCATGAGGGCAACTAATCGAATGAAGGTAGGGCTAGGGTGCTGGACTAAGGTTGTCAACTAGAGGTTGCTGTCTCGAGTGTTAATTCCAACGGACTCTGGACCCATTGATATGCAGAGAAAATTGAAAAAAAAAAGCTGACAGACACGCATAAAACTAATCCGCATTAGCACGTTCCACTAAATCGCAGAGCTCTTCCACCGCACCCAACGCCCGGACAGCCGTACCGAGTGGGCCGGGTCTGCGTTCGCTTGCGTCATCCGTGTCCGATTTTGATTTAATCGACGTCAGCGTCAATAAAATGAAATCAGTAATCGGTGCGACGCTAAGCAAGCCAGGCCAGGCCTGGCCCAGTGTCTAAATAATAGAGTCTCGCGTCTCCAGAGCTCAGATCATGTCAGCCGAAGCGCCGGCGGTCAATGTTAATTTGGCCAAAATTGTCAATCTCATTGGCTCCAATGTGCGCGAGGAGGAGCCCTCGAGCATTGGCAGCTCGCGCAGCGTCCGGCTCGCCAGCAGCGGCACGCCCCGGCGTGCCGCCTACTCGTATGTGCCCAAATCGCCGCAGCTGGAGGAGATTGTGTTCGCCAAACCGACCTGCTCGGAACGCTTCGCCCGCTACTTTATCCTTGTCATCTACTTGTGCGGACTCTGCAGCCTCGGCTTCATACTGTCCATCTATCACATCTTCTTCTGGGACTCGCGCATGCCGCCCGTCTTCAAGGGTCCCAAGAAGCCGCCGGCTTTTGGCTAATGCCTTAGTCAGCCCGGCAACAGATGCCCATGTTGGTAAGGCAAAGCGATACGGTTTCTTCTTCTTTCTATTGTCTACTAGATTGAACTTGCAGTAACATATTTAGGACTTTTGAGAGAGAAGTAAGGGAGATTTTAACAGTCGGATATAATTGATAAAAACCCTTAAGCCCCAATAAATCAGATATTCCAAACTATTTTCATGCGGAATTTGGGGTGGTTTATTGGATCCAGGTGGTTAATAGATCAGGATGAACTTTATATATACTCTGTATATACCCTATATATACTCTATATATACTCTATATATACTCTGTATATACTACGGTTCGGTTCATAACCTTGCTTTTTACGGACAGAACTACAAATAATAAATAAAAATAATTTTCAAAAATGCGTAACAATTGAATAGTTCTCAACTAAATAATGTTTGCGTACAGGGTAACAGCTAGTCGAGCACGCCCGACTCGTCTGTTCGATAAAGTTTCATTCAGAACACACAAATTTATCGCACTGGAAATTAGCCTATTGATGCAGCTCTTCGGGGAGTATAAGAGTGGGCACATAAGCCAACTTATACGTAACTGGTATATAGTTAGCTGGCAGTTAAAGAGTACATCAGATTATCATACACTGTTTTGAGTTGTTTGTTGTTCAAGGTGGCGCGACACCTGAAAGGAATCCTTGAGGGCCATTTGCAAACAATGTAACAGTCGCTATAACTGCCCCCCTGGCCTGGTGTGGCGGGTGTGGGGGGGTTGCTGCTTGAGTGTGTGGGTGCAAAAACTGAAACTGGGCGTGTGGCCTACATTTTGGCGAGCCACATGATGAATGTGTGTATGCGTGTGTGTGTGTGTGTGTGAGTCTCGCTTATTCAACAAAATCAATGGCCAAACGCTGCAATCGTTCGGAGTCCAAGCCGATGTCCGCTCTCCTCCTATCGCGCTCTCTCTCTCTCTCTTGCACTCTTGCTCTCTTGCGCTCTGTGTCTGCCAGCTTTTAGTTGCATTCGTTTCGCCGTTGTCCTAGTGACCCAGTTGCAGATTATTAACCTCCAGCTAACGGCGACCGAGCCACCGAACGACCGGCCGACCGCTGACGAGCGGATTGCCGAATCGAAATGGAAAACAAGTAAAAGTTTTGCGCAGTGCAGAGAGGACACGTTAAGCGAATACCCTGTAGCTGTGCAATATAAGAGTTATATAAGAGCTTAATGCTAGTTTCCAATAACACAACAGAAGTTTTACAGGGCGTATACATAATGCAGCTAGTAAAAGTTGATCCTAACTCGTAACAATTGCAATTATACATATATGTAAGCGAAGAGAGTACGATCCAATTGGATTTTGTATGCAGAGTAGAAGAGTGGTAGTAGAAGAGACATAAAGTGCGATCATAATTTTAACTATTATAATTTTATGTTTTAAAATATAAATGTATTCAACTTTGTGAGGAGTTTACGATCCATTTGCTTTTTATCGGCCATGTTGTTGCTAAGCTGCGCTGGCGTCGCAGAATATAAGAGAGCTATTAGTAGAAGAGAAAGAATTTCTAAGCGTAACAGACAAGCAACATTTCTTACGGGAACTCAAGCAAGCTCTCACTGTACGTACATATACATACATACATATCGTGTATGTTTTTCGAGCTACTTTGCTAACTGTTAAATATCGACATTTAAACGCTCTGTAAGCTACAGTAAAGTGTGTATACCCTATTTGGCAACTTTCAAGTGCAGAGCATCAAAAAGCAATAAAGCAGCGCATGGCGCTTGGAAGCGAAAGGTGCAGGTGCAGGACGACCAACAGCGAAAGTTGCCCAAGCGAAACGCACAACAACAATACATACAAACATATTTATCTACATATGTACATACATATGTACATACAAACATACATATGTATTCGCATTGCCCGCTGTTGTCCTTCGCAACGCCGCCTGCGAAGGTTGCCAGGGCATGGTCACACATTAAGCAGACAGATGTGATTGCAGGCAACTGCAGCGCAGCTGCGACCGCTGCCGCGCAATAGAGGAAAATGGCAATTAATTGGCGAGAAATGTTTGGAACATGATTTCATTTCAATTTTACGCCCAATTGATAGATGTTAAAACAAATATATTTTTTTTTTAAATTATTATTATTTATTAATCATCCATTTTGCGGGCAAAGTCAGGCGCGCATTTGCATTTCCGCGTGCAATAAACAACCAAAACGCGCGTGGGCCGTGGGCCGTGGGCGTGGGCGTGGGCGTGGGCGTCGCGCTCTTGACACATAAAGCAGTGACAGGCCTCAAGACGTGCCGATGTGCTGCTTCTGCCGCTGCCGCTGCCGCTGTCGCAGTCGGACAGCTTGGCTATGTTTTTGTTTGGAATGCCAGCGGCGCGTGCCAGTTGCATTTAAAAACAACAACACGACAACTAACGGACCGCATCCAGACGCCGATGCCGACGCAGGCGTCGAAATTTGTATGTAAATGAAAATGAGCGAAATGAGCAGCAAGCAGCAATCAGCGAGCAGCGAGCGGCTGACAGCTGGAGTAGAGTAAACAGGCATTTTATGAATGAAATTATATGCGAAAGATGCCGAAAAAGCGCAGCACAATGGAGGAGGATCGCAAGGGCTGTTGGTTGGAGAGGGAGAGAGCGAGCGAGCGAGAGAAAGAGATGCGACTGCCTGACACGAAGGCTACGCCGCACGAAGTGCAGCAGCCGAGGAGCAGGCGATGCCGCTGCCGATGACTCCTGCATTGACTGAGCCAGCAGCAGAAGCAGCAGCAGCAGAAGTAGCAGCAGCAGAAAGGCTCTGCTTACGGCTGAAGCTCTCTGTGGCTGGGGCGTCATTTCGCTTGCATTCGCTCGACGCGTCGGTTGGCAGCTTTTTTTGTGACTGCGACTGCGACAGCGGCTGTAAACTTTAACTGTTAAGCGCAGCGCGACGCGTCAACAATAATAATAACAACAATAATAAACTACAAAAACTTTGCATTTATGTACAACAACTAGACTAACCAATTGCACTGCCAAACGCAAAAATATAAACACAAAAGAAGCTGAACATATCAAAATCAGAAAAGAAAAGAGAAAAAGGAAAGTGCACGGCAAAAATAAATAATTAACAAGACAGCCCAATCAAAACTGGCAACGAAATCAAATAAGAAAAACAAAAACAACGAGAATCAAAAGAGAACAGCAACTGCAGCAACAACAGCAACAACAACAACAACAACAGCAACAACAGCAACTAGAAACAACGAAAATGAATTCCAAAGTCAATTCGCTGGAGGAGAAAGTGAAACTGCCGCCAACGGAGACAATAAGCCGTTGCTATCAGCCGCAGCAGAGCAACCGTAAGGTCATCCGCATCCTAACGGTAGCCGTCTATGTGCTCTGCGTATCGCTGGCGGCCATAATGCTATCGCTATATTATATATTCATATGGGATCCGACTATACGGCCTTTTGTTACCAAGGCCAATCAGTGCGGTAAGTGCGGCAATTGCTGGCGGCTGGCTAATCAGCCCAATGAACGTTTAATCCCAAACTTAACGGTAACTTTAACTGCATTTGCCAGTTAGAATGGCGATGGGAAGGGGGGACTGTGGTCAATTGATGGACTCATTTGGGGCTGCGGACGCAGCTACTAAATCAAACTGGGACACAGGCTTTCAACTAGGCTACAGCTAAATTGCACACCACCCCGCTTACCGCCCTCCCCTGCCCTGCCCTGCCCTGCCCTGCCCTGCCCTGCCCTGCATCGCAACACTAACCGATTCATCGCCTCTAGTTAAATTAAGAGTGTCGGCGTGGCGGAGAGGGGTGTGGGGTGTGTCTAACAATAACGGTAACGGCTCGGAACGCTGTCGGCTTTTTCGGTTGTCGTTGGGCTTTGCCCATGCCGAAGGGGCGTGACAGTTAACATGGTTGTGTTTTTGCATTTCTTGTATTTGTTGTATTTGTCCTTTTTTTTTGTTTTGTAAATCAACTCGAAATTGGGTCAATGGGCTATCTTATGCGTGTGTATGTGTGCGCGTCTGTGTGTGTGTGTGTGTGTTTGTGTATGTGTGCATGGCTTTTGCGGTTCAATAATCGCATTGTCACCAGCCATGAAATTGGTTCAGCCCAAAAATATTCACTGATGCATATTACAAAGTAGACCCATTAGGATTTGAGCTATTGCGAGTGCTCTAGCCGGGCATGCACGACTAGCAGATACTCTGGACCCAGCCACGAGCTGATGTCAATAACATTACAGTTACTTCCCCAGGTCTTAGGCCCTGCATTATGTCTTGATTAACTTTGGTGTTTGTGGTCCGATCTTTTTGAAATTTTCAAAGCTTCAATACGACATAGAAAAGTGTGTATATCCCAGAGTCCAAGACTATATCTCTATAGATGAGATTCTTATTTAACTCAGTTGTTTGTGGTCCGATCTTTTTGAAATTTTCAGAGCTTCAACATGACATACAAAAGTGTGCATATCCCAGAGTCCAAGACTATATCTCTATAGATGAGATTCTTATTTAACTCAGTTGTTTGTGGTCCGATCTTTTTGAAATTTTCAGTGCTTCAATACGACATAGAAAAGTGTGTATATCCCAGAGTCCAAGACTATATCTCTATAAATGAGATTCTTATTTAAGTCTGTTGTTTGTGGTCCGATCTTTTTGAAATTTTCAGAGCTTCAATACGACATAGAAAAGTGTGTATATCCCAGAGTCCAGGGCGTTATCTCTATAAATAAGATTCTCATTTAAGGGGGGAAAAGTTTGCGGGTAAACCAGATAGTTAAATACTCTGGTTTTGCGTATACTCCCTCGTAAAGCATTTAACGTAATCTTGAGCCCGACGAAGAATATATATAATATATAGAGGGTCGAAAGGCTTGGACCTGTTATGGATACAATGGATTCAGGGTATGGCAAAAGGACGGGAAGTAGAGCGTAGCTAAGCGAGCCCAGCCGCTGTTCGTAGCTAGACACAGGGTATCTGGCAGTTGGGCACTGCTGCCTGGAGCATTCATTGTTTGATTACCTTCTGTTTTACCGTTGCAGACAAAATTGTGATACCCGAAAAGATTGCCATACGCCTATTAAACTCATCGGAAGTCACCGCAGAGCAGTTCTACAAGCACATCCTCGAGCAGTATCGCATCCTGAACCATTTGCAAATGCAGCGCCAGCAGTTCCTGCAGAAGCAACATCTGCAGCTGCAGCAGCTGGAGGCGAGCAATCGCTTCCAGGAGGTGTTCGCCACGGCCACCATTATACAGGCACATCCACATCCGCATCTACGTGAGCCGCTCAAGAAGCCACTTGTCACACACTCCAACAACAACAACAACAACAACAACAACAGCAGCAACAACAGTCCGGGCTCCTATCGCCTGGAGGCGCCGCCAAATGTGGACACGTCGGCGCACCACATGCCACTGTTGCTGGACACATCCCCGCCGGCGGAGGGCATCATGACACATGTGAAGCGTAAGACCCACCGCGGTGGCCACTACAAGCACCATCGTGGGCGTCCCGGCGGCATTGGGCTCAAAAAGCTGCCGGAACGCAGCGGCTCCACGTTGACGGCAAGCAGCACAGCCGCCGCTGGATATGCGCTGGGCGAAGAGCCAACGGCGGCGGCACCATATGGCTACATGGACACACCACTGAATCCGGCGGCCGGCACCATAGTGCAGCAGCCGCTGCAGCTGTACACCTCGATGCCCATACCGCTGATCCTCAGTCCGAGCAACAGCGAGAAGCGTCCGTCGCACCACAGTCACAGTCATGCGCATGGCGAGCGACGCGGCCTCGGTGGTGCCCAGGTGCGTCGACGCACCACAACGGCCACCGTGTCCGGCTATGATGCGCAGACCTACCTCAATCCGTTCCTCACCGGCGAGCTGATCTTCGAGAAGTAAGCGCTGCAAATGTTGCTCCATTTACACACACACACACACAAAGCGTTGAATAGTTGGCCAAAGTTTAGCTAAAGATAATTTACTTTAAGCATCTGGCATGCACCAGATGGCTGGGAATTCTTCTGGCACGGAATTGAGACTCGGACACTCTATACTATACTCTACTTTACAAGTACTACTATACTATACTCCCTTGCACACGGCAGATGCATCGAATATACCTATACACACACACACACACACACACACATTTATATAGTATAAATCAGAGTTGAATGTGACCAGGGTTTCCACTAGGCTATTTTTTTTTTTAACCATGAACAGTGAAAGGGCATTTTTTCTAAACTGCCTTGTAAAGTTCATGTTAGTTGAAATGGTTTTCATAAAGAAGGTTTTCAAATTAACAAAGCTGCGTCTTTCAACTAATTAACAAGTTTTTCAGAGCGTTGAGAACGTATTCAGTTTATGTTTAACTTGCAGTTACAAGCTGACAAGGTGGCCACATTGTCAGTCTGACTTGCAGAATATTTACCAAGCAGATTAATGAGCAGCTAAATAAAAGCTTGAAAGTGGCTATTAGTTGGGAATATGTCAAAGGAAGGCGTTTTTTTTTTCAAGTCGGCAACCTTATAATATTCAGTTGTATAACACTCGCACAGTTATCTAGCTGCTGGTAAATTTGGCTTCACTTGTTAAAGTGGCTGGCAACACCGAAATTCTCCAATTCTTATATACCTGTCAGTCAAAAGCCGTCTGAACTATATGCAAATGTATTTAATAGTAGACGTTTCGATTAGGATATATATTAACGAGGGAACTACCAGTTTTTAAGCTTAGATCACTTAGATCAAGTCGACTTCAAACTTTTTGTCGTCTCGTAAATGAGTTACCAAAAGAAACACCAGAAAAAACTATTAACATAAATCCTTATGTATAAACACAGTTTTGCATATTTATGGTTAATTGTCGTTCGAAAGCTGTTTGATATTTGTAAAGGTGGCAACACTGCCACGCTAAATGCGGTATCAAAATACCATGAGAAAGTTTACGTCGACTTCATGTTAAAATGACACCTAACTTTAACAGGAGCTTGAAAAAGATGCTGGAACTGAAGCCCAGTGGAAACCAGGCATTATTTATACAACATTAATTAGAATCGTTTTTGGGTATACTAACGGGTCCTATTGTGGAACCCAACCCCAAGAATTGTGCTCAAGTAATTGATAAACAAGAAAAGAAAGCTGGCAACTCTGATAGATACCACAATTGTTGCAATGAACACACCTTCAATACTTATATAAATATATATCTAACTATATAAACAGTAAAAAAAAAACTATATAGAGGGGCATTACTTAAACTACTTTCTAGAACCAAACCAAACACACACACACACACTCACAACTAAGGCGAACGCAATACTCAATAATAGTTATAGTTAAAAGTAAAAGAAATAGTTAAATACGATAGTTAGTTAGGTACTTGTATACATATGTACCTAGACGGGACCCACTCCAAATAGAGCGTCACTCGCAGCGGCAAGCAACGACACCCCACCTAGGACACTGCTTTAAGGCAACAACAATAACTAGTTACAAATCAAGCAACCATAACTTAGTATAACCAACCAACACTCTCACAAATATATATACATATACATATATAGATCTCACGGCATCGGCATCAGCGCAGATATCGGAGAGGGTTCAGCTTGGCAAATTGCATGAATACTTCATAGATTGATAACGATAACTTATTTATATGGTATTTGTATATACACAACATTGAAAGTGCTCAGCACATAACAACTAAATAGGGACGATATATACATGCAGACATATATACATATTATCCATGTTGCAAGTTTCATATTCGAGGCAAATCCATCGAAAGAGATCCCAGTTTTTGCCGCCCTCAAAAGTATGCTATGGACATTTCCCTGGGCTTGTCTCCGCAATTGGCATTTCGATTATTGGATAAAGCTCGTACATGTACAAACATATATATGTATATAACTGCATATATGTGTATGTTTTTTATAACTTTTTTTAAGGGAAACAAAAAAGAATAAACAAAAACACAAAAATGTTCTTCAACATTTTCAGTTGAGACTTGCGACTTGGTAGCGTTGAAAATTGGCGAAAGAAAAGAAAAAATAATGAACGTTTTTTTTTTGTTAGTGAAATTTGATCAAAACGGTTTTTGATACAATGTTTGTTCCTAAAAACAAAAAGTTACGTTTCCACAAGAACAATATACATATATATAAATATATATATATTTATTCTAGGATCATCTAGTCCAAATATATTTCTAATTAGCGACAAATTAGAGTATTTCCAAATATATCGATTTATCAAAAAGTCAAAATTTGATAAAAAAAAAAAATGAAAATAAAACAAACGAATTTTATATTTAAACGAAAGTTTACAATTTTTGGTAAAGAAATGCGCGAGTTAAAGTTTTTTAAATATTTACTTCCATTAGTTTGATAGATTTGTTAAAAGTCCCTCAAGTTTTGACTGTTTGAATTGGCAAACAAATTCGAATATCCGGTAAACGGATTTAAAAGACAAAACAATAGCCGAACCGTATTTGAGTTCGAAAACGGTTTGAAAATCAAAAGAGTTTTGAACTCGAACTCGAAAATTGTACTAATCACATTTGCTTTAAGCTTAAATGTTTATCAACAAAATATTTTTGATTTTATGATTTTGAAATATTGTGCATGTGTGAGGTGCAAATAGAAACACAACGTGGAATGGATTTGAACCGGGCACCGCACATCTGACAAACTAATTTATTTAATTCATTTGTATTACGTTTATGAAATGCCGTAGAAAGACTTTTGAGAAGTTTAATAATCATAAATATTCAACAATGTTAAGTTAATTAACAATCGGTTTGCTGATCTGTCAATGCAAAGTTTCGTTTATCACAAAATACCCTGCATATATAGCCCAATAGGGCATATCCATAATCGTACGTTCACAAATATTAACTGCTCTGGCGCACTCACATATAGGAAAGGAAATTGCATATCCAAACCCCAACAAGAGGAAGACCCCATATCATATCCACAACACAATCAAAGAAAGAAAAAATAAAATAATAATGACGAATCTCTGAATAAATGATTATATATCTATACACACACATATATACATATATATATATATATATAAATATATAGATAACATAAATATATATGTGAAAACTATATGGCTTTATGGCATAGAATTGTATACTGTAAATGTATTTGTATCTGATGAACATGTACTTGCATATTAAATAACAAATACACACACACACACACACACACACACACACACACACACACATGTACGTTGTGTACTTAGACGAAAAACAAGTCATTTTGGCAATAATAAAGCATAGAACAAACTATTAAAACAAAACTTTAAACTGCCTTTTAACCAACTTTAGTCAAACAAATAACAGTACGTTATGCAAGACGCGAGTAGTCGATGCGCAGCTACCCTGTAAGCAGACAACGAGCTGAAGAAGTTACCTAACACACTAAGAAACAAGTAAGAGGTTCTAGTCGGGAGCTCCCGACTAGGGGATACCCTAAACCCTCTTCTTCCAACAGGCGATAGGTATAAAATGAAAGATACTCTCTATATACTATTCTTGAAGCTACATGTCAAGTTTGGTGACTCTAGCTCATATTATTTACATAAATTGCTCAAAAAACAGAATTTCGATATCGATTTTTATCGATTACTTGGAAACGGGGCGAGTTATCGAATATCGGAATCAAACTCGATTCTGCGCGGAGACTAGGAGGACCTACAGCTAAAATTTCAAGTCTCTAGCTCTTATAGGTTCTGAGATCCTAGATCGAGGCGGCTATTGATGCTGATCAAGAATATATATACTTTATGGGGTCGGAGATGCTTTCTTCTGCCTGTTACATACATGTGCACAAATACATTATACCCTGTTTACCCATATTTAATGGGTTCAGGGTATAAAAGCTGTTAAGAGTAAAATAGGCTAGTTTTTACCAAGAAGTTCTCTCAGATGAAAAGAGGAAATATAAGTTTTGTTTTTAGATAAAATATTTGGTTTTTTCTTGCTTCAATATGAGAATCAGAAAATTGCGGAAAATCTCGACAGATTCAAAAAAAAATATATACAAATTAATCGCAATTCGTTTAAGCCAATCACAAGTTTTGAAGGCATAGCAGATCTCAGACACACACAACTTTTTAGGATTCGAACTATTTAACTCCCGAGCTATAAAGAAATGCCTAATATCTTTAAAAGTGTTTCCCGTACTCTCTAGTAAATCGGCTCAAAACATATAGCCAGCTTTATCCTTATTCGATGTGCATTAGTACGGAGCTCGAACAAAAAAAAAAAAAAACTGTCTTCATATGCACAAATTAACCGATTCAAGCGGTTACCCGTTTGGGACATTCCACTGTTTACAGGGTATCGAACAAATCTGTGTTTGCGCTAATTAAAACCTAATGAACTTTACAGCTCACATAAACATAAACATTACGATCCACTTATCAGTGGAAAACAAAGGTACGCCCTTATCAATCATATTTCCGGATGCCACGTTTTTTGTTTTTTTTTTGTTTTTACACAATTCAATTAGGACACTAATGTTGCGGAACTAGTTTCCGTTAATAAGCTGAAGCCGTGAACCAGTTGGAACCATTTCGAACGATAAAATATATTTGTAACCAGTTGGAACCATTTCGAACGTTAAAACTCACCGAACTCGCGCTCGCAATCAATCACATAGCCCGGATTATCCATTGGGCTTTGACTTCAAAAAAAAAAAAAAAAAAAATCCAAATCTTTTAGAATGAAGAAGACGGAAAAAAAATGGAGGCACACGCACACTGCACTTGGCCAGAGGCTCGACTGGTATCTGGCTAGTTCGGAGGTTTCGCGACTTTTTATAGGTATAGCTTAGGTTCTGACTGCTGTCGCTGTCGCTGTCAAAATTCGACTGGCAGGCCACAAAACTCCGAACGGCACTTTAAGCCTAATTTATCTTCAGGTAATGCTGTGCGTCTGGCATTATTAAATGGCCCGATTACAAGGTGGTTCTGTAAAACAATGGATGGATAGCGATGAGTACATAAACTAGAAAAAAACACTCAAACCTAAAAAAACATACAAGTGATACTGTCGTTGGGTATGCCCGGCTGTCGGATACCCTGCTGGAAATACACCTATCCAGAAATCCAAATTTGAATACTCCAAATATGAATAGATATTGCTTATTTACAAAATCTTTCCAGCTGCCCAACAATATATACTGGGCCGTAGAAACTACAGATTTTGCTAGGGTAAACAACTTCTGATTGATTAATTGACTGTTTTCCGAGGATTTGGAACAACCTTTAAATGATCTGCGATGCGCACAGGGTGCCTGAAAAGCCAAGCGACAAGCACAATAACAGAAGACTGTGTGATATGAGGCAACAATAAGAGCGTGTTATAAAACTTAAATACCCATACAGATACCGCTAAGTATAGCTGCCCACCCACAATTTGTGCAAGTCAGCGCCGTTGGGTTTAAGCACTCTCACTCTCACTCGCTCTCACTCTCCGTCTTTCAGGGTTATGGTGGTGCACGGGTATTTTGGTGGTGCAGTGCGGTATAGAGTTAAAAGTTGTCAACAGCCTCGGGGCAGATGCTTAAATAAATATGTAATTGCTTTCTTGTCAACTACGTAGTTAGTACACAGTCTGCTTTGTATGCCGAACTCATCTTAAATATGCAAAAAATAGAAAAAACAAAAAAATATATATATATTATAGATATTTATATATAGTTTAAGCTGTGCTGGAGGTAAGTTCAAGGTCGCCCTAACGCACAATCTGCTTTTACTCTCAATATTACGTCGGCATACCCCAGGTATGTTTGGAAATATAAAAGATATGTCTGGATCAGAATTTTATTAACAATTATGGATAAGTACGACGTTACAAATATTCGTTTTCATTAGTTTCAAACCGCGTAGGAAACATACTTTATGTCAAATATTATTTTACACTCTAAAGAGCTTGGATGCCGGGGAAAATGCATATTATGTTATTATGTTCTTCTTATTCGAAAATAATATAATACCAGGGCATGTTCACAGATTAAAGACAAGGTATTCGAAATGAATTTCGCTTTAAATAATAACATTTGTAATTCTCAGCTATATTTAATCTCAAGAGCTTCAATACGGAATTCCTTAAAAGCCTAAATTAGGACATTTCTGATCCTTAACATTATATATAATATATATGTATTTCGTTTGTTGCAACAGTTTCGAAGGTTCTCTTTTTTTCATATTCTAAAATATGTGATTATTATAACATATGATTATTACGATAGCACAGTTACTAATAGATTGCATATATATATACATATATATATATATATATATATATACAGCTTTGGTTTCTTTTTGTTTCGATTTCCAGGCATGGAGCAAGCCGCATTAACTGGTACAAAAACTAGACTATGAGCGTATTCAGAAATTGACAGAATTCTTTCTCAGAATTGAATTGACAAACAAGAAAGTTGAGAATATTGCTTTAAAATGAAATGGCTCATGTATGTACCTATATAATATAGTAAAAACTTTTGATTTTATGGGTAAATAGTTTTCTCTCTATACACATCTATCTCAATCTCTGTCAAACCTTCTCTCTCTCACTCTCTCTCTCTCCCTCTCTCTCGTTCTTTACACGCTCACTCCCTCTCTCTTTCGCTCTCTATTTTGTACCTTGCTCTTCTTATCTATGGGCACTTTGACGCAATACCTATTTATATATATGTCAGGATTTATATAGCTTTCGGTTTATGAAGCTGTCTTTATAATGTTATAACAAAACCCAAGTAGTTATTAAAAGTTCATACATGATATTTACACTACAACCAGAGTAGGTAAAATAGTTAAGCTTAAGCCTTAGGAATACATATACATATATACACCTATATAAACACATACACATATATATTTGCACTATTATCTAATGCCAGGGTAATAGCCACATAAGTTGGTAACAGCCTTACATAGTTCGGCATTATCTTGAATGGATAGTACTTAAAGAAAATAATTGTATTTGCTTGGAAGCTGTAAAACTATTAAGCTTCGTTCTCTCATGTTACTGAATTTATCCTCTTGGCAGCAAAATGCGCAAAAGTGGCAACGCCGGGCCGTTATACATTGACATTACGTGTGAACATTTATCAGCTGGAAAAACTGTCGGTTAAGATGCTTAAAACTAGAAAGTTTAACTTTGAATCTAACATAGGAAAATGGTCTTAACAAGTATTTGTATACAAAAAATAACTTTTAAAAGTTGAAACTCGGAATCCGTCTATACAAATCAACGTTTATTAGAAAAATGTCCTTTCCATAGTCTAGTTAATTGCAATGTTTATTGGCATTGCGACCAGTAAACATGCTCTTCAAAGGCAACTACAAATATATTATCAAGTAAATGGCCTTTTCGCTAAACCCTTTGCTTAAGTTGTAAGTCAAACCAAAAAAAAAAAACAAAAACTAGAACACATATTAATTAATCAAAAAAAAAATATAAAAAAAATTATAATAAAATCAGAATATATTGCAGAAATACAAAGCCATAGAGCGGTACTTAAAAAATATATAATGCTTAAGCTGGGACTTGTACAGCAGAAAAACTGATGCGCTAACCTTGCGGATCTGCGTTTCAGATGTTTTCGTTAACACAATGGATTTTCATAGTTGTATGGAAGAAAAAGCTAGGTTTATGCACACAATTCGAGCACGTTGGAGCATGTCAAAGAGCCAACGCTCCAAACGACTAGGATAATATAGGGGCTGAGCGGGCTCTAGAAACTAATGTCTTCGCGTTCTCTATATATATAAATATGTATATAGATAATATATATATTTATTTATATATATATAAGTATATATATATATATATGCGCACATCTGTCGATACAGATCTAACATAAATCCAAACACATATTCCGAGACACACACAATAAACACGCACACAACTCAATTTATCTATATATATATATATATATATTGAAGTATGTGTGTGCATTGTGTGTGTGTTTAGGAAGATGGGCATGTGCTTAGGTTTGATCAATTCAAAATTGAAATGGAGGCGTGTCGCGACAGGTGTACGGACCCATGGGGGTAATTACAACGTGCAGGGAGAGCGTATTGCGCTGATTGCCCGTCAGATGGGGGCTCAAATAGGGTGATGTCTGCTCCAGCTCCTCGTACGGTAGCAGATTATCCAAATTGATGACACGTGCTATCTCCGAAAAGTATTCGGTACGCTCCACAACGGTGCGTATATGCGATATCTTGTTCTGCACGCCAACGATGAGCACGGCAATCTGTCGGTTAATACATTGCATTAGCAGGCCGGCTACATTCCATATTTACAGGGTATACGCACCTTAAATCGTTCCTCGCCAATGTTCTGGTGCTTGCATGTGACGCGGAGTCGCACCGTGTTCAATGAACAGCCGGGCACATCCTCGCCACAGACCATTTTGGCCCTATTGTACTTAACGCCGCGCGGAAAGAACTCAATCTCCCAAGTCATGCAGGGATCTAAACATTAATATCACACGATTTAGAAAGAAGAGAACATATATCAAAAATACAAAGGTATAGCAGGAAATGGCTACATTGTGATGTACGGGACAACTTTTATGCGGAGAATAAAGGCATCCACTCTCCCGTATTTTTTGGCCATCATTTCAGATACTTAGACATGAATGAATGGTACTCACCGTCTTCAGTCTCGGCGATGTGGCGTTGCGAAAAGAAGCAGGTGACATAGTTCTTGTAGTCCTCGATGTTGTCAAAATTGTGCACATCGATGCCGACGCTCCAAGTGTCGTTCCAGTAGAGCCGCGGTGTGAACTGCAGTTCGCCGCACTCTGTGCTCCGGACTTCGCGTACGCGATCCTCCTGGCCCGACTGATAGCTCATGCCGATGGCAATGCGCTCCACAAGAAACTCCTTATGGTACTCGATCAATGGGACGACTAGTAGATGCGCCAGCTCACGCGGCGTCATCATGCCAAAGCGTATGTGCATGACTGTCTGCTCGATCAGCTCAACGAAGCTGGACGCCTTTTTGTCGACGCTAATGTCGGCGGTGGACTCGATTAGCTCGCGCCGGTGGAGCAGCCATGTCTGCAGTATGGTAAACAATTTGTACTCGCTGGTGACAACAATGTCGTTCTGCTGCAACAGCAGCTGCAATATAGCCGGATCCATGTCCACAAAGTCCTTGGACTCGGCCACCATCTCCAGATTCCATTTGAGGAAACGCTTCAGCGTCTCGGTGAGATCATTATGCGTGGGCGAAAACGATAGTGTGTATTGCAGCCAGGAGACCAAATAGCCACTGGTCGCCGACTTGGCCACATGCTTCGTCATATAGCCCACGCACAGCTCGATGAGATCCCGCACATTGTACTTGTCGGATAGCGCCAGCATGGGCATTACCGTCTGGAGCGTCACCTCGATATGGCCCACATACAAGTACTTGATAAACTGTGGAAATACCAACGAGCAGCAGGCCTCCTCGTGCAGCTCAATCACATGCTTGCTGCACTCGTTCCACTCCGGATTCATGAGCATCACTTGAAAGACATCGCTGCTGGCGCAGAGTATGACACGGTGTGCCGGATACTCCTTGCCATCCACCAGCAGCACAATGTCCGACATCAGCTGCTCTGCATACAGATGGGCAATCTTGTTCAGCACGCTGTTCGCATCAATCATCTACACATACACGCACACACACACACGCACACACACACACACACAGATGAGTATCAGAGTTTAATGGGCCTTTTGGTAAGGTGCGCTGTTCAAGTGGATTCTGTGTAAATGCATACTCACGGTGCTAGCGCCATCCTGTGTTTCGTCTGTTTCCAAACACTTGCGCCGCTTGGCATCCTGATCTTCGTTCAGATTTGTGCTACCCTCGGTGCCATTTGTGGCTGCTGAAGCGCTCGCATTGCCTGCAGCGCCAGGCTCACCTGATGCACCGCCGCCAGCGGCCGCAGGACTAGCGCCAGCGCCAGCACCAGCTGCAGCTGCACCAACACCACCACCAGCGGCACCACCACCACTACCACCAGCGGCACCACCGCCACCACCAGCGGCACCGCCACCACCAGCTCCTCCGTTGATGTTTGCGTTCATAAAAAACGTTGTATCGGTGTGCGTTGCTGTAGCTTTGTGTAACACCTGGCAGACGCTCCTAATTCAAATCAATTGATTTGATGATGCCTACAGCATTACCCGTGCAAAAATCGTTGAGGACATGCCCAATAGGTTAACATCAATTTCTTCCGAACGAAAAACAACAAATTGCGTTTTTGTTACTGTGTGACCGTTTGCCGTGTTGCCTATAAAACCCAAAACGCAAGGCACAATTCGCATTACTAAAAAAAAAAAAAAAAAAAAAAACAAAAAACAGTATTTTATACAAAAACCGCAAATTTTCAAATATTTTTTGATTGATATTTGCAAAATAACAATATTATAAATATACACTGGCGCAAGCTTTTTTTTTTTTTTGGCTATTTGTAGAAAATAGTTACGTGCCATTAATTAGCTGATTTGACAGTTTATAATTATATCGTATTTTTGGTATTTGCAGTAGGAGTTCCCATCTTCCTACCTTATCTAATCCATTTCAAAAAGCATTAAAACAAATACAACTTCCAAATTTGTGTTTATTGGTTTCTATAAGACATTAATTCAAAATATTTTTTCAAAAACAAAAACGAAAACCAATTTAAAAGTCTTAAGTTGAGATCAAATATGCCAGATATCAGTACTAATATGTTTATATACTTTCTGTTTTTCTAAAAAGTTTTGATATATACTTCATTCAAGATTCAGATTTAATATCAAAATTGAAGAAAAATAATATTTTTTTTTTGATAATTGGCACATGTGAAAACAAAACTGAACTGAATGAAAAGAAAAAGAAGCTAATGGACAACACAAGGAACAATCAAAAAACTGTTTCACATTTTCAGTGTACATTTGATTGTTTTGTTTCGACTTATTATTTAAATTTTTGTTTTGTTTTGTTTTTTTTTTGTTTTTTGTTTTGTCCAAATGGATGACTACTCGGTCCAAAATGGCACGACTATCAACCTATCAATGCCCTCATAGAGGCTGCAATAGCTGGTTCGAACATGCAGAAATTAGTTTACTTTGGCGATGACATTCGTATTGGTGTGTGTTTCGGTTCATCATTTGATGTATGCGCACAGCTCAGAGCTCATCGTGACCGATGAATTTCCTGACGTACGCCTGCAGCTCTGGCAGTGAGCGACTGCCTTCGTACTCCTTCTGGCGCTGGCCATTCTTGTAGAGGAAGAGCGTCGGATAGCCCTCGACCTGTTGGTCTATGCAGATCTGTTTGTTCTCCGGCGATGTGCAGTCGACCTTGGCAAACACAATGCCCAAGTCGGCGGTCTGCGTCTCTGTTGCCAGCTGTTCCCAGGTGGGCTGCAGCTTCTGGCAATGTCCACACCAGGGTGCATAGAATTTCACAAAGGCAATGCCATCGCCGGTGGCCTTCTCGAAATCCTCGCTGCCGTTCAGCTGCAGCACAATTTGCTTTTTAGCCTCCTCCGATGCGTCTTTTGCCACATCGTCCAGATCGTGAGTGGCGCTTGGGGCACCGATCATCTTTACCACATAGGTTTTCAATGTGGATAGGTCGCGTGCACCCGCATATTTCTCAATCTTTTTGCCATCCTCTATCCAGAGCAGTGTGGGATAGCCCTTGACCTCAAAGTCCTGGCATATGCTGCGATATTGTGTGCAATCGATTTTCGAAATCGTTGCCTCCGGCTCCTTGATCAGCTCCTTGGCCAGCTCCTCCCAAGTGGGTGCCAGACGCTATGTTAGATTTAAGCAATCAATTTGTGTTCAAACAGATGGTAAATTTAAGAATTTAATTACCTGACAATGGCTGCACCAGGGTGCAAAGAATTTGACAAAGTGATTGCCGCTGGACACATGCTTGGCGAACGTCTCCTCCGTCAGATCAACGACCTTGCCCACGTTGGGATTCATTCCGCTGCCATCCAGATGCTGCTGCTCACTCAAATCCTCCACGGCGGGCGTGTTCAGCTCCTGATTGATGAAATCGGTGATGGCCGGCAAGTCGCGTGTACCCTTAAACTTGATCGACTCCTTTTCGCCCTGCTTGAAGAGTCGCAGCGTGGGATAGCCAGTCACCTGGTGATCGGCGCAGAGCGTCTGATGCTTGGTGCAGTCCACCTTGGCAATGGTCACCTTCGGCTCATCTATGTTCATTATTTCAGCCAGCTGCTCCCACAACGGATGCAGGCGCTTGCAATGGCCGCACCTGCCGATGACACCAGAACAACGGATTGGAGCATATGCATTAGGAGGGATTTGCATTAAATGGCTTAACCAGTTCAAGAGCGGTCCAAGCCTGGTTAAAGATCTTTTCTAGACAAATTGCTGTTGTTTCAGTTCTTATTTTTATTGTCTGATAAAATGCATTTGTATTTTACTTAATTTAAACTTTTTGAAAACGATTAAAGGAGAGTACAAAAATGAGCGAGAACCAGATATATAATATGATATATGTACATATATATATAATGATTGATTCTCTTGCATTGAAATCCAGCATTAAATTAGTTTCATCAACGCTAAAGTTAGCTGTGGCAGAGCTGTTGATAAGAATTGTGGACTGCGTATATGCGAGCTCTTCAAAAAAATGATTCTGAGTATCAAGACTCAATGGGCATTGTCTGAGGATTAGGGGCATGGGCAGGGCAGGGCGGGGCAGGGCAGGGGAGGTCGGGCTGTTCGAGTTATTGAATAGAAAAGAGTGCATGATATATGGCTGCTATATATGTAAAAGCTGATAACCGGCCAGCGCCTAACTAACTATGAGTGTATAATTACAAGTCGTACGTGCGTGTGTGCGCTTAGTATATGTCAATCAATGGGGCACTTCTTCGACTTTTCTCAACAACAACAAATAACAAAGCCCCTTTGACCGCCCTTATCAAGATACGTGTTTAAAATATAAAAAAAAAAACAACAATAATTCTTATATTTCAGCAGCCAAAATAGTTGCCGCTGCCGAAATATTGTAGAATATGTGCTTTAGAGCTGGGCGCGTGTCGTACTTTCTTTCGTGACACGACTTAGCAAAACGCCTACTGCTTAAATTTTTTTTTTTTTTTAGTTAAAATATGACATATATACATAGATATATAAATATAACATATAATATATATATAAACATATTAAAGTATTTATATACATTTATGGTATTTGGATTTTGCTCGTTCTGGATTTTATGTGCTTTAGTATTTTTTGTGTCCTGCTGATGGTCACAATTTTGAACAGTGCGCGTTTTTGAATTGTAGTCAGTGTGGCCAAGTCAGCCATTTTCTAGCTAATCTAGGTCGGCAACAGTTTTAAGAGGTCGGCAACAGTTGGAATTTTCAACTGATTTAGCATTTTTTGGCAATATTTATTACCAACTCGTGCTTGGAAAGCAAATTCAGCTCTTTTTTACATTGGTTTCGGCCGCTTTGAAACGGCAATTGGCCACTCTGATAAAAAATGCGACACGCACCCATCTCTACTTCAGCTTCTTATGGCTGTGTCAACAACAAGGAAATGAGTGTTTCTATTTTTTAATATGTTTGCACACTAAAGTCGGAACACATAGAATGTATGCACACATGCATGAACATATGTTGGTACATATGTATGAACAGATGTTTTTAAAGATTGCGTGGCTATGTCTGCATGCGTGTGCGTCTGCGTGTGTGTGTTTAGCCAACTAAAACTCCAACTCATTGTTTAAACGTTTGCTTAACCGCATTTAAATCAAACAGCCAAATTTCCCAATATTGTACTCAATAATGCCTTTCGGCAATTTCGCTTACCATGGCGCAAAAAACTTCACAAAGACATTGCCGGCTTCGATGGCCTCGTCAAATGTTTCCGGATTGAGCTCGACTGCAAATTGCTTCTCATCGGCTGGCTTTGGCTGTTCGTCGGTCGCAGCGGCTGCCAGAAATGGTTTTATGCTGAGCGCACAGATGGCCAGTGGTATAATTGATTTGAATAACATTTTGGAGTGTATAATAAAGTTTGTCTATCGCCTTTGCACCTCTTATATACACTACATGAAATGCTGGTTGTGTTGGGCAGTGTGACCAGCTTCTTGTGACACAAAAATACCACGGCGACTCGCCACCTACGCAAATTGACGAGTTGTGTTTGGTGGTATCGATGACTATCACAAAATACTTGATATCGATCATTTAAATTTCAGGTGTGACCAGTTTCGTTGCGACACAAAAATACCAAGGTGACTTACCACCTACACAAGTTGACGTGTTGTATTTGGTGGTATCGATAATTTTCAAAAAATACTCGTTAACTAAATTTCAAGTTCGTTAAATCATTTTAAAGCAGTTAAATAATTTCGTACATGGAGATTTACTTTATTTCTGATACACATATTAAATACAAGATTAGCTTTTGCCGATTAAATTTCGTAAAAATATGAGGATTCGCGTTCATTTCAATTTATGTAACAATGTACATCTTACACTTTTAGAAAGTTTATGCCTTAAAAAGCCTGTTTAAAACAGGGCAATAATAAAATGTAATATACGAGCTTAGTACACTTTAGTAAAGGCTTATTCGAGCATTGAAAAATATCAGTTTATATATATATATTCTCACAAAAAATAAAAATAGCAATACCTTTTTCAAAATAAAAAAAAAAAACTTTGCTTAAAACCAGAAAATATATATTCGTCTAGATTTTCATATTGATTTCTTACAGACTATTGATTATAATTTTCAACATGATTGCAAGTTCTATTTTGATTTTTCGAATTTTGTATAGGTTTCGACTATTATAAATCATCTGTGCTTGTTGTCTGCACCCAGACTCTATTAGTTTTGAATGGGACGAAGGACGAATCAAGTGGAAGTTTTAGATGTTCCATAAGAATCAGATTTAAGCATAGATAAAAACAGTCTTGAGAGTATTTGTACCATTATAATAGCACTTGTTCACTTTGCCGCACAAAGCAACAAACACAAATAATGTAGAATTAACATAGTTTTGTTGATTTTTAAATATCGATTGCATTTTCATTTTGATTCTCATTCATTCCCAAACACTTAGGGTGTGACTTAACAGCTAAACACTCAGTAACTGGAGGCGCCAATCATTTTGCGTATTTGTTCAAAGGATAGCCAAAAGGTGAGCGACCAAGGAGCCATGCGTATCCAGCAGGGCAGAAAGCCCTTGTAGAGCGCGACGAAACCCTCCTTGGCCACAGTCTGGCGCAAGCAATCCAAAGAGCCGCGATAGAGTAAACCACTGGAAATGGTATTGAAATCGGTTTAGAATTGGCCTGTGAGAGGACAAGAGAGAGAGAGAGAACAAGTTGTGTGCTTACCGGCCCAGCTCGTCGGTGGGCTGATTCATGATGCGCGTCTTGACCACATCTGCCGGTGTGCCCATGATGGCCGCCACGAATCCGGCGCATATGGATGCCAGGACATGCACCGTGTGGCAATCGGGCATTTGCAGGCGACGCATAATCAGATGCTTGATGGTGTCATATGTGGTCAGATCACCCAAATTGACCAGTGCCGCACGCTGCACATTCGGTATGCTGCCCTTCCAGAGGCCCTTGACGCCGCCGCGTTGCACAATCATGCGGAATGCATGCGCCGCACTGTGCACACGCGGCGCCTCGCCCATCAGACGCCGCCGTCCCTCCATTTGTATTTGAACCTTGACCAGATCCGCGGGCGAGGCCAGCCATTGAGCAACGGCACCGGCGGTGACACCGCACAGCGCCGACTTCCACACGGGCAGCGCCTGGCTGCCGTTCTTGGTGAACTCCTTGCGCATCAGATCATAGCTACAGATGCGCACGCCGCTGTCAAGGAGGATACGAGATTAGTTCGGCTGGCTGGCTGGCAAATGGGCAATTTTGGATTGGCAATCGCAGTCCAGTATTGCTACACTAGGCGTCTACTTAAAGAGGCACAGATTATGTGCCTGCATATGTGTTTTGTACTTGTTTGCTTGTTGATTGGATTGCCCACCTATAGACGACGTGTCTGTAGAGCGCCGGCGTCACGCCCTGCCACAATTTGACGGCGCCCTCCTCGCGTACAATGCCAAAGGCGGTGGCGACCATGCCGCGATATTGCATCTGGTAATGGGGGGTTTTTCAGTTACATAATATGCAGCTCATTAAAGAACGTATTTATACCTATCTATACACATGTACATACATAATATGTGGACTATGTATATAGAGCATGGAAATAAAATGGTTTTTTTTTTTGTATAGTTCACATTTAACACACGCACAGAGAAATGGAATTATGGATACTTGTCGGGTGGTAAGGGGATGGAGAGGGGTGGAGTGGGGGGGGGGGTGTAAGACACATTAAGCTAGTGAGATAGGTGGGTGGCGTTTGGCTACTAAATACAACAACAGCATGAAACACAGTCACCTGATCTCAATCTCCATGTCTACATTTATCTGCATTCGCTCAGATGGACACACCCCAAGAATAAAAATAAATAACAGCACCAGCTAGAGCTTATCAGCAGCACGCTGATAATGCATATGACTGACCAAAAGAGTGCCGTGTTGTTTGTTATTGCCAAAAAAAAAAAAAGCTAAAGTTAACTTCGGCATACCGAAGCGCCCAAATACCCTTTCAGCGTATTGCCAAAGGAAATATTTGTAATCTTGATAAGAGTATCGACATATGTACGTCATAAGATTAAACCCAAAGCTGCAGAAAGTTAAACAAAGTTGGAATCGTTTGTCAACACTGTAAAGCAGACGTTCGGATCTGGTCAAGTGCTGTGTGCCCAGTTATAAGCTGGGTTTTGGTATCGGTCGCTTATCGGTAGCCGCCTGCGAGGGTATCGTTATTAGCAAAGCCGGGATCAAAGCTAGCATGCATGAGACCAACACAACAACAAACGGTTAACACCAAAATACCAAAAAAATGCCAAAAAGACAAATATCAAAATAACAGCCCAGACTACTCACATTTGCCTTGGCGCTGCTGCTGGTTGCAACGGTGGCCACACTGGCCGCCTCGCCCTGGATTTGCAAACGGGTCTTTGTGAGATCCAGCGGATATGTGACCAGCTCGGCTATGGAGGCGGCCACAACCGAAACGATATAGGTGCAGGCAAATGAATCCGCATAATCGTATTTAACTGGTCGCAGCTGATGGCGTCCGCTATTGACAGCGCCGCTGCTGCTGCCGCTGCCGCTGCTGTTGGCCGCTGTTGAAACTGTTGCATTGGTCGCTGCGGTTGCTGCGTTGGCGCTGGCATCGCTGCTGGGCACACTTGCTGTGGTTATGGCAGCGGCCGCGGCTGCGATTACCTGGGGCGCAGGCATGGTTAACCTGCAATTGGATTTAGTTATTAACAAATTCAATTTTATTATTATTCAACAGCATGATACGACACCAAGCACATACACACAAACAATGGCGCGTTTTTTTTTTTGGTGGCAAGCCAATCAATGTGTGGGCTGCGCTGCTGCGACCGTGGCTGCTGCCTCTGCTGCTGCCGGCGTTGTTAAAGTCAACAATTTAAAGCGCAAAGATCGCGTGACTTGCGAAGCACTGCAGAAGCTGCTCTGCTACACGTTTCAACTTTCAAGGATGCTGTGCGCACATTTGGCTCTCATATATTTTTACATAACACCGACAACAACAGCATCAGCATCAGCAGCAGCAACGGTTGCCAACGACGTCAAAGTGTGAAGAAAAAAAAAAAAACAAAAATCTGAACCAAAATTAGTTTTAGTTATGTTGTGCGCTCGCCTTTTATTCCGTGGCCGTAGACGCCGTGTATCGGCGGCTTTTATTCAATTAAAAGCACGCCCCGATCGTCTGTACATTGCAGAATTGATTTGTATGTTTGTAACTGATATAGCGTATATATATGTATGTATTTTTTTTACTTTTATGAGCGCTTATCAATTGTGCATCAATAAAACAAAAAGTATGTGTGTCACAATAACAAAAACAAACCCAAAGCTAAGCACAGTGTTGCATATCGCTGTACAAACTCTGGCAGCGCACTAGTGCTGCAAACTGACGATGATTGTTAAAAGCTGTTAAAAGCTATAAAAATAGCTAAAATAACTAAAATACGCAAAAATAGCAAAAATTGCAATTTTAGATTCAGTTATGTACATTTACATACCAGAATCAAATTTGATCCCTTACTGTGTATTCGTTTGCTTGATATGACTCAATCGTGTGAGCGAGTATATAATTTAAGATAGCTTTGACGTAGACTTCTATGTTAAATGAACAAAATCTAACTCAATGAATCATTTGAAATCAATGAAAATCATTTAAGCGATTGATGCAAGTTTTTTCAAAGAGTAAGTAATACCGGAGCTCATGTATTTTGCCGAAAATTTGACCATAACTTCTGTTATGAGTATTCTTAGAATTCCTTAAACTAGGCTAGTACAAAATTTGAATTTGTTGGAGGTGCGGCACCATATGATGCATGCAACGCAGTATTAAATCAAACAGGACTGCCAACATTTTTTTGTAGAGTCTGCCGAGTTGCTGTGACGCTGTGATTCAAATACATTTCATTTCAAAATAAAATTCGCAGATAGCTTTAAAATCTGATTTGAAAAAGCTAATTTGCAACACTGGCACGCACGCTTTCGATACTATCGTTGTATCGATAACGATAGATGCACAGCGAACAGCTGCTTTTATGACTTAATTGGCCTTGCTTTTTCAAAAAACGGGCTCTGCTGCTGCTTGTGCTTTATTTACTATGCTCTAAGCCTCGTTACGCTGATTACTTCATCGCTTCATCGCAAAACAGCTAACGGCAATCAAAATACAATTGCAACAATAAAAGCAACGCAGCGATAGCAACTTGCGACACCAAATTTTTAGCAGCACCAACAACAACAACAACAACAAGCACTCGTTAATGTAAGTAACAATATGGCCAAAATCGCATGAATCAAAAGCTAATAGTGATGTCTGTGTGTGCGTGTGTGTGTGTGTGTGTGTGTGTGATAGCATGAGCAAGACAGAAGCTGCCGAAACGGCCGCACCCAAAGCCGAATCGAATGTGCGCCAACAACTGGAAACGTATCGGGTCTATGTGGTCACCTGGAATGTGGGCAGTCGGTTTCCGGACAACATCCAACTGCGCCAGCTGCTGGGCCTGCCCGACGATGACAGTGGGGATGCGGCTGGCGAACTGCCCGATATCTATGCAATTGGACTGCAGGAGGTGAACGCACAGCCGCAGCATCAAGTGCTCGGCCTGTTCAAGGAGGATCCATGGACGCACAAGGCCAAGCGCCACTTGCGCAAGTACAACTATGTGGTCGTCAAAACGGAGCAAATGCAAGGCCTGTTGCTGACGATGTTTGTGCGTCGGCCGCATGTGGAGCATCTGAAGGACATAGAGGCGGAATTCACGCGCACCGGTTTCGGTGGCATTTGGGGCAACAAGGGGGCGGTCAGTGTGCGTTTCACGCTATACGGCTGCGGGCTGGCGTTTGTTGTTTCCCATTTGGCCGCACACGATCATCAGCTGGACGAACGCATCGAGGATTACAAGCAGATAATCGAGAATCATCATTACCATGTGAAACGCTATCGCGAGATCTACGATCATGACTATGTATTCTGGTTTGGTGATCTCAACTTTCGGCTGGAGGGCAGCGACAGCGCAACGGAGGTGCGCGACGCACTCAGCGATGAGCATAAGCACGAGGCGCTGCTGCAGCGCGATCAGCTGTACCAGGTGCGCGAGCATACGCAGCAGGCGTTTCAGGTGCTGCACGAGCGCCTGCCCGCCTTTCCGCCCACGTTCAAGTTCAAGGAGGGCACCTCCGAATACGACATGAAGCGGCGACCTGCCTGGACGGATCGCATCATGTACGCAGTGCAGCCGCTCAATCGCCAGCCCGGCATGCCGCTGTCCATTGAGCAGTGCTCCTATAAATCGCATCCCGCCTACAATATCAGCGACCACAAGCCGGTTACCAGCGATTTTACGCTCAAGCTTTATCCCAATTATCGTGCGCCGGGCATCAGCTTCACGCCGCTGTCGACTTGGCGCATTGGCGATGAGAATACCGTGGAGTATCGCAAGCAGCCGGAGTTTGAGGAAGGACCCAACGATTGGATTGCCATCTATGGCATTGACTATGCCAGTCTGGCGGACTATGTGGCCTATGAGTATGTGAATCAGGCCGAATCGCCCAACTCATCCGACACAAACCAGGAGCGGGATTACTTTGAGACGCCAGAACCGGCGCCTCATCGCCACAGTCGACATCATCATCATCGCAATCGGCAGCGATTGCGTCGCCAGCAGGAGGCCAACGAGGAGCTGGTGCGTCTCGATTTTGCCGACGATGTCGAGCTGCGCCATGGCGAACAATATTTGCTCATCTATTACCGCAGCACTGGCCAGCGCGGTGTCACCAGCATTTCGGGCATCTCCGGTCCGTTTGTGGCCGAGAAGCGCAGCGGCTCGCCGCATCGCACCGAATACCATGTCGACTAGCTAGCGGAGGCCCTGGACATTTATATACTTTAGTCGAGCTGCAATTATGAGCCTTGTTTTACCTTAATTTGCCTTATTTGTTGTATATTTTACATATGTATATTACGATCTGATCTATGTAGATGCATTTCCTGTTATTGATATGTAATTGTTGGTTTTTTTTTTATCTATATGTGTATATCTATAGATATAAATGTATTTACGTTGATGTGCATGTTTTTACTATACATTTCATTACATTTAATGTGTCTTTTGCATATGATTATTAATTTTTTAATTGTATATACGTATATGATACACAAATACACGACAAACAACACAGACCAATTGAAAGACTGTTCCCATTTAGATATACATATACCCTTTTTTTTTTGTATCACGGCATTTTTGAAGCCTTAAGGTTTTTATGAATATATATATTTACACATATATTTTGTTGTGTTCCATCCGATGGTTTTTATATAGATATATATATGTATATGTATTGTTATCGTGCTAGGCGGTTTTTATATAAGTATACCCAACTTGGGATCTACAGCTTTCTTTATAATTTTAGAATTAAGAATTACGAATTACGAGTTCTTAATTGTCTGGAATATAAATAATGACTTTTTGTCACAGTTTGAAGCTATGTTTGTAAGACTTTGCACAGATTCTGTTCGCATAGCCTGACTCTTATTGCGCATTATAATCTTTTAATAGGCATCTACTTATGTCATACGTTTGGAAAGAGGTGATTTCGTAGGTTTAAGCCTTACAGTAACAGCTATATATTATCTGGTTACTTCATAAAGAACTTGCTGTTCCCACAGTACACTTAACTCTCATTGTGCTACTAGCTATACCCTATTTTTAAAAGGTATCTCTACTCTGTGTAACGTTTGGAAGCAAGCTTTTTTTTTTTTGGAAAGTCCCAAAGTATTTATCTATTAACAAATGGGCTAAAAAAACTTGCAATTTGCAAATCTATGTTAATATGAAAAAGTTAATCTTACCTTGAAGCTATGGCTTTGGGACTTGGTTCTGTAAAAGAAGAAGACGTATGCTCAATACATAAACTACTAAATTGTATAATGGGGGATTTACTCACCTCGACTTATCGTCAAATATGATTATTGAGCTTGGGCTTTTCAATGTTTATAAGATTGCAATCCCATATAAAATGATGTCGATGTATAGTATATTCCCTGCCAGGATTCAACTATTTGCTATGATAAAGGAACTTGGCACAGTTGCCGCCCCTAAACCAAAGAACTATTAGATCGTAAAGAAGTAAAAACTGTTATCGTGTAAGTTAACCCGATCAATTGGCCGGGTAAGGGTATTCGGAGTTATTGTCGAAACGAATTCAGTTTTGCATGTGTGCATTGATTTTTATTTATATAAATGATGTCCGTTGTTGAAGCATTTGAAGCGCTTTTTAACCGGTTTTTGCACTCGCCGCACTTCGGCATGCCATAAAGGTTAATTGCGTCACAATAATTGCCACACCTGCAGCTCATTTCCATACAAAAGCTAAGCGTAAGATGACAAATTCCAGCTCGAGGCACACAAAATAACAACAAATTGGGCTAAATTGTTGAAATACAGAAAAAACGTTTTGCTTGATTGTCATTTTTTGAATATGGGTTTTTATTTGTTGGATGGTTTTGTAATGTTAAGCATATAAATAAAGTATAAATACATGATATAGTTGCCTGTGCCATTTTTACGCACAAATATGATATACTAGATAATACACATACATACGGCTATATAATTTAAAAATATATATGCTAGCTGCACAAAAATTGTTTGCTGAGCTTTCAGTTTTCAGTTTTCGATTTCGTTTAATTGCCCCTTTTCCGACAATTTTTCCGCCTGTTTATCTATAAAAATGTTGTGCGCAATAAATTTGGAAAAAACAAAACAAAACAAAAAAACAGCGCACACGCCTTGAAAAATGATTGGGTACGCTCCATAAATAATCATAAAAGATATTCGAAAAGAAAAGAAGAAAATAATAAGAATACGCATATGTATATGTACATACATCGCAATTAACTTGCCATTATATCTTGTTAATTTTTCGCAACTTTTCGCTTACAGACTAAACAAATTTTCCAAAGGAACTGCAGACTTTTTAAATTTCAATTGTTCGAGCTGTTTCTTGAGTACTTGGATGAAAAGAGTCAAAAATACAAACAAACTATGCACTTAAATATTAGATACTATTATTGTAAGCTTGGGCAATATTCGTTGATCAGTTACACCCATATGATATATACATATGTATATTCGAGTAAAGTGTATACTAGATGTGGTAAAAGTCTATAGCTATGAAATGTCATACATCAATTTCAATTGTTCAATTACAATATTTAAATACATATATAATATAGTTATATACAATTATACGTTGACTGCTTTTGTATGTAGTATCAAAAAATAGTATGCCTGCTACTTA